TTGGGCCACCCTGCCTCGGTGGGACATGGCTGGTGCGTTGAAAGAAAGATCTACTGTAATGTGACTTTTCCAGTACCATCATTTATACTAGCACAGAGTGTTTTAACATCAGCTGTTGGTAATCGGGAAAATATTAATTGTTCAAATCCCCTACAAAAATTAGTTTAAAGGTGTGATGAGTGTTGGGGCCATCATGTCCAGTCTATCTGTCAGGAAGTTTCATGTTACTATTATTATGCTATTATATGCAGGGAACAGCATTTTCATGTCATATTATATTGTTGTAATAACTTTTGAAATGAAAGAGATCTTTTTTAGGCACACTGTATATTCATGGGACAGTGCTATGCCTGTATGGATCATACAGTGCCTGGGGAATATGAGGTAATCTGGTTTGATTCAAGAAAGCAGAGGTTAGTTCCAGTTTCTTAGATCAATAGATATTTCATTAATAAAAAGGCATCCCCCTTCCCCACTCCAACCTCCTTGAAGGGTACTGCATTTACAGCTCACAGTGACCAAAGGAACAGAGTTAGCTCACTACAGCCTCTCCTCGCTTAATGACAGAGTTCTGTTCCTATTACCTCGTCAGTAAACAAATTCATCACTAAATGAGGAACACACTATAATGGTAGTGGGTTTATGTCAACCATCTTTGATATTGCTTTAATGTCACCCTTGCACCATTTATAACATTTTTAGTATATTTTTAAATGTTTTTACAGTAGTGTACTGTACTGTATTGAAATAAACAGAATAGAGGAAATCAGCTCTAATATACATTATTTAAGTATGCATACTGGTCAGAGCCTATTGTAAGTCCGAGTCGTCAGTAAATGAGTATGTTGCCAAGTGAGGAGAGTCTGTACTGTAAATACTCAGCAGGATAATGAGCTACTTGTAAACTCTGAGGTTAATAACTCGTAGCTTCCCTTTTACTGACAAAGTAATGGCTAGAATCATCAGTAATATGTTATTCATAAGCAACCAGGGTAATGTTACTTGGTAACCTTAGGCAAATAAAGATCATGCTGCTCAGTTAGTATTATTTATACAATTATTTAAAAAAAAAAATGGGCAAATCACAGTTAAAATATTTGTACATACCAAGGATTATAAGTGCTTTTCTTACCATATATAACATATGGTGCAATGCACCAAAACTATTGTAGTCTTTAAATATACGAAAGGCATCAGGTATGCTGTATGACCCATGTGAATTTAGTTGTCATTTTAATATACTGGTAATAATAAAACAATTCAAACATTTATCAGTGACAGTAATGACACCATAATTCAAGACTAAAGTGAAGTGATGAGAATTTAGGAACTATTAGAGGTACAATACCAATTTTCCAGCACCCTTGGTGCCCAGGCTTCTTGGAATATTGATTTTGCCAAACCAACAGAGGTCACAGTAATAATTTACCAGTACACCTCTAACCCACCATGGTCTGCTGGAAACTTAAATTAAACATTAGTATAAATGAAACAGGTTTATTAATTACTGTAGTTACAATGTTACATACTACTACTCCCAAAGTTATAAATTTTAGAATTTTATTGAAACTAAAGTTATTCACAAAGGTGTGGGAGTTGAGGGTTGTCAGGATTGTTTCATAATTGGCTGTTTCATCATGGATTTGTGATGTTATATTGGGGATATCTGGGGTACTGGAAGCCACAGGATTTTCAGATGAAGGCCTATTTCTGTGACATTTTTCTTAGCTATCTTTAATATGTCATCCAAACAAAGTTGATTAATGTGCCTGATCTTTTCCTGTATAATTTTTCATCAAATAAAAACTCATTAGCTCTTGCTCTGTCACAAAGAGGAACAATACCATAGCTGGTGAGAGTTACTTGTATAGCTATTAACCCTAGCCAGAGTTAAGGTTAAATGTTAGCAAAATATGCTAAGAATCATAAAATCAAAGATCACACTAACTCCAGTGTAAACAATATAAATGTAAGTGCTCTACACCTAATGCCCCGTGGCCACCCAGTACACTAGACTAGCGAAAAGTTAGTCCCATAATTTTGTCTGGACTAAAAGTGTTGCAGGAAAATTGATATTGTACCTATACAACTGAATTTATGAAGGGATTTATGAAGGGATTCAGGGAAACCGGCAGGCCGGACTTGAGTCCTGGAGATGGGAAGTACAGTGCCTGCACTCTGAAGGAGGGGTGTTAATGTTGTAGTGTAAAGCACCCTTCTGGCAAGACAGTGATGGAGTGAATGATCGTGAAAGTTTTTCTTTTTCGGGCCACCCTGCCTTGGTGGGAATCGGCCGGTGTGATAATAAATAAAAAATAAACAACTGAATTTGTTTGATATGTAGCTCATATAAAGTAAACTTCTTTATAATGTTTGACTAGATTAAGTACTCTGATAAAACAATTTTTCTGTAAACAGATCTGAACTTGAATTCAGATATGGACTACTACCTTAGAAGGGCTGACTCAAACAAATTACCCTACAAATTGGTTCTAGTGAGGTAAGATTGAAATATCTGTGTAATTCTTAGTTATTACCTCCTAAATTTTTACAGTTGTTAAGACAAATAGATCACCCATTGTTGATATGTGGGATCCTTTGACTATGTAAAAAAAAAAAAAAAGAAAATATGCTCATCAGAATAATCTTGTGGCTTGTTTGGATATGAAGACATTCAAAGGCTGGCACAGTAGTTTAGTTACAGATAATTAAAATTAGATACAACAGTATAGTATAGCATACATTGGCAGTGTACAGGGTGTCCTAAGTCTGGATGCATAGGAACCAGTCATGTAGTGTTGAAGGAGAACATTGTGTTGCTCTCAGATCAGTATTTCTTACAAAAACCATTTGCTCAAGAATTGTGTACAGTAAATGGCTGTTAATAGCATTTAATTTGAATAGTGTTATTCCTATATTACATTCTTGGAGGGAATGTTAAACCTGTAGGGGTCATACAGTACCTGGGGCAAAATGAAAGGCATTAAGGTTTGATTCAAGGAAGGGACACGCATGTATTTTTTCTAATGTATCCAGACTTCTAAAACACCTTGTGAATATGTATCCGGTCTCTGGAAATTAGAAGAGATAAATAATGTAAAGGGATCAAGCTAGGTAGCAAAACAATTTTGTCAAAATTTGTGCAAGTTTTCTAACTATTATAAATCAGAGAAATTTTTATACAGTAATATAGGTTAACAGAAAATTAAACACTTATTTCTTATGACTAATCTTGCACCAAACTTTTTAGCCCTGGAAGTTCTAGAGATATTACCAAGCACATCTCATATTAGGGAAAGTGCAGATGAAAGAACACAAGTACATACACTTAGGACATCTCTGTTAATACTGGATACCTTTGCCACTCCAAATGATACAGAAGAATGAGAAGGCTTGGTATATGTAGTGAAGAATACAGGTCACTAGGGATGGTCTGGTAAAGGCAACAGGTCATCCAAATGCTGTGTCACTTGGCAGCCGAGAGGAAGCATGCAGTAGTACATGTATAATGTATGCCAGAGTTGAGAATATATTTGCCAGCTTTTTATTCTGTGATATTGGAAGTAGCAATTAAGAAGGTTTATGGCATCTATCCCTGTTGCCGCTCTCTCTAGATAATTTCAGCATTGTTCCAGTGCATAAGATAATATAATCAAATTAACTGCAAAACCTTAAAGGGTTATAGTGTCAGTACATGAGATGGCCACCTCTTAAGTCCTGTTTATGTCATAAGCATTTCTGTGGTCTTTAACATGTATTAAAAGCATCTTTTGCTGTTTCTCCTATATAGACATTGTTGCATTCCTGCTTGGTATGGTATATACGCTGGTTTAGTGTTGGGTGTGTCCTAGGGATCTTCCAGGTGAGGTCTCTGATGGAAGATATGGCCATGGCAGCTATGCAGATATTTCTAGAAAGGGACTGCTTGCACAAGAAAAATGCTGAAATTATCTACAAGGAACTAGATAGGGATAGATACCATTGTATTGAAGCCTCCTTAATTGCTGCTTCCAACACAGAATAAAGAGCTGGCAAATTTATCTCAACAATTCTGCCATGTGATACTGCTACATTCTACCTCTCGGCCATCACGTGACACAGCAACTAGATTACCATCACTAAGGACTTTCTATACTAAATACAGTGCTTTCTCATTCTCTTGCATTTAGTGACCAAAGTCCAGGACTAAAACAAAGATATTCTAGATGTATGGATACATGTCCTTTCATCCATATTGGCTGCTACAATGTACCTTCTACTTTCATTAAGTAAAGTGCATATTCAACAAGATATAGGTGCCTAAAATCATTGCTGCAACAGCATGGTGAAACAGTCTCCTGTCCACCTCCCACTGAGAAAATGAACAATTTAGTTTACAAAAGCCTCAAGGGGGCCACATTGAAATTGTAACAATGAAAATCTTAAGTTTTGCTAATAAATTAAATGATGGGTTGCCTTAAATACACCATTGTTTTATTCAGGGGGAAGTAAGTGCTAAACTCTTACAAGTCAGCCCTAAATATAAAATGTCTTAAAATCCTATTTCTTTTACACTATACTTTTCTGAATGTTTAAATAGTATATACATATCTACACTATTATAAAAATTATTATAGATTTACTTTTGGACAACATTAATATCACAAACATCAATGCTGAAGTATACAACAATCTCTTAGCTTTGACAGAGACCCAAAACTTCTTACACCTATATATTTTAGAAGACAATTATATACACTCGTATGCTTAACAATTTGCAAACAGGCAAAATTTACAAACATTGTCTGTACGTCCACAGCAGGACCTGCAAATTCTTTATCCGAGTCCACAGGTTCGAGTCCTGCTGTGACGTAGAGACTGTATACGCTCATAAATAAAAGTCAGCTCTCTTATAAAGCTCCTCTATATAGTGCAATCTTAAAAGTGCATCCAAAACTAAGTAGCACATATTATGAAGGTTTTTCCATTCACTATTCAGTTCTGAATGTGCTTTTTTATAATTATTTACAAAAAATTGCTCTGTATTGACAAGCTTTGTAAGAGATTGCTGTATAGCCCTTGTGGCTTAGCACTTTTTGATTATAATAATAATTTGTAAGAGATTGTAAAGGGTATGGCAATACCAGCAAACTGAAGAAATGGACACTTGTTCAGGACATTTATTAAAGGAAACATTTCCTTTAATAAATGTTCAAAACTGTTCACAAGTGTCCTTTTCCACAGCTTTAAAATAGCTTACTGCAATCACAATTCTTTTTAGCTAGATGTGAGGAATGTGGCAATAATGAGAGAGGCAGCATGTGGTGAGGCAAGACTGGGAATAAGGGCTTGTGTCACCACCTGTTGAGGGAGGCGGTGCAAGGATGCGACCAGCAGGAGCAGGTTGGATGGTCTCAAAGGGTCACCAGGAAAGGATGTGGCTGCATGACTTTGAAGGGTAGCTTGTGCTCTCTCATGAAGTAGTGACATCAGCACTCTTCCCTCTGAAGATAGGCCTGGTTCTGGAAAGACAGAATTAAACTTGTATAAAATTTCTAATGCTGCAATACAAATAATAATATGATGCAACTGTCTTAAGTGAAAACTATTTCTGACAAGGAAGATCATTGAGTGTGTCTGCAAAATGAAACCAGATTGTGTTAATCATTCTGTAAAGTTCAACATAAAAAAATATAACTATTCAAAATGTTTCACAAAGGTACAACCTGACCTACACATTCACTAATCTGGATCTTTTGCTGCTGGGCCCACCCATTAGACTCATGGGATGACAACACCCTCTTGCATCAATGTGGGAGCTAACTTGCAAAATTTATGACTGAATTTTAATTTTTTTCATCATATGCATTGATTTCTTTCTCTATATATACATTTTATGCATGCATGGGCACTTATGTTTATTGGTAGAAACTGGTGAAGGTAAGTTCCTTCAGTAAATGACTTAAATGTTAAATAAACAAAGTATTTGGAGGACACACTGATAACACGGATGTGGAAGGAAGGTAGATGAAGGGCAATGAGGATGAATAAAAGGGGGAAAGGTAGTGAAAAGGTATATAGGAAGGATGGATGCAGGGAGTATTTATTGATATAGAAGACAAAGGTGTATTGCTGACAATACTCAACACAAGTCACAGGTACAGAGCAAGTTTTAAAGTTCTACACTATAGAGTTTCAAGTCACTAACAAAGCTCTACACAGCAAATTATTACTGCAATGAAGGCTCTTCAAAATATCCTCTTGTGAGCGTGTTAGATAGGAGTGAATGGAGACGAATGGTTTTTGGGATCTGACGAGCTGTTGGAGTGTGAGCAGGGTAATATTTTGTGAAGGGATTCAGGGAAACTGGTTAGCAAGACTTGAGTCCTGGAAATGGGATGTGCAATGCCTGCACTTTAAAGGAGGGGTTTGGGATATTGGCAGTTTGGAGTGACTAAACTGTTGTATCTGGGTGCCTCTGCAAAGACAGTGATTATGTATGAGTGATGGTGAAAGTGTTGAATGATAATGAAAGTTTTTTGTTGGGTCACCCTGCCTTGGTGGGAAATGGCCAACATGTTTAAAAAAAAAATATAGTGTATGTATGTATGTATGTCACATGTGCACACACACACCCATCAATTAACACATTAATGTGTGCAAAATTGTGGCATATTTTGAATGAACACGTCATATTAATCAGTATATATGGCTTAATCTGTCAATCACTGCCCCCACATCCAGTGTCGATAAGGGGGCAGGGCTGCCTTGCTCTTCTGTACCTGTTTGGAGTTTAGGTTCATGTCGGGTGAGAGGTGTGTGGACAGAATGAATGTGGTGGAGGAAATGGCCAGGAGGATAAGTGTGGGTGAAGTGCATGCATGCTGTGGGTAAAGGTGGGGACCAAGGATGAGTGCTGGTGTGGCTACAGGCACCCAATTTTCAGGAAGTATGTATGGGTGATATGGCTGAGGGCTTATGAGCTAGTGGGTGAGGACAGGGTACTGGATGAAGAAGGGTCAGTGAAGGTATGAGAGTGGCTAGCTGGTGCATACCATCACTGTTTAGCATTTCCTTCACCTACTGCAAGTCCCATGTGGCACTGGAATGTATGGTCAGATGCGTGCTTGGGTGGGAACTGGCAGATGGGGGAGGATATGCAGGTGGGTGCAAACAGAGAGGTGGTCTGTGAAAGCATTGGGAGGAATATAGATGAAGGGCAACTGTGGGAGAGGTGATGGTAGGGGGGCTCGGGATAGGTGACAGTGGGGCTTGGTGAAGGCAGAGGCCTGATGTTTCTGGCATATGGGCCTGTACACTCATATGCCATCTCCCCTCTGGCATATATGCAGATGGGCAGGAGGCTGAGGGCTATGTATAGACAGAGGGGGTGTGAAAATAGGTGCTGGCATTGGATATGACAAGTGTGGGTGGGTGTAGCGTGTGAAGGCGTCAAGTGATAAGGTGCTGGGTTCTTTACCTTCCATCTCACAGTGAGGCTCAATCATCCATTTGTACATGTCTAATAACATACCTCAGCCACATGCCTCTGCCTCTCTGCTTACCTCCACTCACACCTTCCACTTGTATAACCTCCCTCCTGTGACCGAATGCCCTCACTGCACACCCAGCAACCTTACCCATATCAACTACCCCTATAATTTTTCCACAGCCACACAACTTCACCCATGCAACAACCTTGACCTACACAACCTGCTTGTACAATTTTCCCTGACAGCCACATGCCTTCACCCACACAATCCCAACCAGCAACCACCTCCACCCACACAACCTGCCCATACAATTTCCTCCTCATGGCCACACCTACACCATATTCCCCACTACCCCCAAGACCACAATTTGCCCAGCCCTATGCCACTTTCCCATAACCTGACACCCACACCTTACTCACCTTTTCACCTCCAGCCCATCGTAATACCAGGGACCACTGTATTACCAAACCTCTTTCTGTACTTAATTCAATTAGAAGCTCCCATTATCATTTACCTCTGGTACTCCAAACTCCCCTATATCATCTACAATAATAGTAAAAATAGTAATATACATCTCCCCTACTCATCTCTGCTCCTCTTCAGCTCTTTGAATTAAACCTTTCATAATGCCTTAATGTCTTCTAGTTTCTTCACTTTTCATTCTTGTATTTATTTCCACTGCCTAAAGTCTCCTCCTTCCCACAATATTCAAAGACCATGCTTCCTTCCTATAGAAAAGCCAGCACTACTAACAATATACAGGAAGGCACGGCTTATACAGCTGGTTAGGTGCCAGGCTACCACCGTAAAGAGAATCACCCTTTTTTTTTTCCCCACTTTTAAATGTGTATAAATGCCTGACAACATGTTTACACTATCATAAATTAAGTTAGCAATACAACAAGACATTAAAAAACAAATTAACATGCACATACAGTACACTCACTAGTTACATTAAAATATTTGTAGTCTTAATGTAGGATGAGAAGCAAGTAGTATTTATTGTAGAAGTCAGGTGTGGTAGCCCACCCAGGTACCACACTTCACAATTATGTGTTTGTTTGTTTTACCATGCACGTTTCTTATATAATTTTGAAAAAGTATCATAGATGGATTAATGAACATGTCTATATTAATGTAATGTAATATACGACATTAAAGTGCCCCAGAATGATTATTATTATTATTATTATGGTTATTGCATCTTCAACACAAGTGTGACACTCTAAATAAACTTACACACTATGTAAGTTTATTTAGGTCCAAGTATACAAGTACAATTATCAGAGTACAGCCTCTCCTCACTTAATTAACAACAGAATTCATTTTAATGTCACCATTGCACCATGTATAACATTTCTGGTATATTTTAAAATCTTTATACAGTAGTGTACTGTATATTGAAATAAACAGAATAGAGGAAATCAGCTCTCATATACATTATTTAGGTATGAATACTGGTCAGAGAGCCCGTCTTAAGTCCGAGGCATCGGTCAACGAGGAGAGGCCATATATACAAAATATGCAATAACTTTAACACTTGAAATTTTGGAAAGTTTCCAGACATAATCGAGAGATGCGGAGCTCACAGTGGATGTAAACAGAGTAGCATGCGGATGCCATAATAGCGAATCAGGGAGCCATATAAATGAATTTTTGTTCTAATTTGAAATGTCTATACATGTATTAGTGAAATGCTTTAAAGTGAAGCACTTAAGTGGAGCCCTCCTGTACTCTGGTATATTCTATGTTTGTGCAACTATTGGTAAATTTCTGCCTTTCCAGAGTCAACATCCCTATTACTGTCTTATGTTTTGTCAACTGCCAAATACCAAATGTATATTCACTCCTTCCATACTCCTATCAAATCAATCTCCAATCTTTCACTCTCATCATTATGATCTACATTCAATTTCACCTTCCTGTTTTAATGCACCCTTCCAAAATACTGTAAGTGCTCTTCAGAAAATTTCCCTCTTTACAAGCTAATGTTAAATCTGTCCACTTACATCTATTTATTTTTTATTTCAGAATAACATATCTACTCTACCATGAATATTCTGTCATGCCCTCTACTTACGGGATCTGAGAAGGATGACGGCAGAGAGAAGCAGCAGTTCAGTGGAGTCTAGGGAGTACTGGCGACACAAGCGTAATGCAGCAGCAACCTGGCCAGCTTCTTCATTCTTAAACATACCCGCCTGGCAAACCAGATTAACATAAGAGAACTGAGTACATTTCAGGGATGATCATTTGTTACTCTAGGATGAAAAATTTTCAATAACTACAAAGGCTAAACTTGTGTATCTAATAAGTATTGTGTAAAATATATTGGGAAAACTAACAACACTAAGGCATCCTATATAAGCTAAAGTTTTCTTCTCAGCAAGATCATTGTACATGGTTAGCAATTCTGCCAAAACCACTGGATATAGTGGTGGTTGTTCCCACAAGATCCTTGGATATGTTGATTGTTAGGTAAATTCAGGTAATGCTGATTTACTGTACTTATAAAAACTCAAAATATTTAAGAGTAAAATTACTGATATTGGTGACATCAGTAATACGATGAACCAATACCGTTGGCTAAAGTATATTCTTTCCATGGACAATACCCAAACTGTAATAAAGTTGGTAGAATTACCGACAATATGTAAAGTAAAAGGACAAGTGCAACTAATGTGACATTTAATTGTGGCAACGTTTTGCTCTCCAGGAGCTTTATCAAGCCATTACAAACAATACATGGACACAGAGGGTATATATAGGCTCAGAGTGAGGTGCAATACTAGTGAGGTACCATTTCGATGTTCACTAGTGGTGGTAGTAGTAGTAGTGACAAAAGTAATACAATATGGTAGAGCAATTAATTCGTACATGAGAAAAAGGATATAAAAGCTATTACTTGGGTAACATAAAAATAGGTTGGACAAATATAGACTGGAAAGAGGCAGCTTGTTTCAGTGTTCACTCCTTGTATGTGCTTGTGTAGTATAACAGGAGAGACTATGCGATGGCAGGGTTTACTGTTTTCAGGAGGATTCTTGCTAAGACTTCGGAGATGGTGAAACTGCCGTTGTTTTGTTTAATTGTATTCGAAACAGCGATCAGTGCTGATTTGAGGCACTTGCGTCTACGGAAATTAGTTTCTTTGATCACTAATTGGGCGTCTCTGAATTTCATGAGATGATTGGTGGAATTTTGGTGTTGTACACAGGCGTTGTTCAAGTTATCGTTCCTACATGCGTAAATGTGTTCATTGAGGCGGGTGTCGAGGTTTCTTGCTGTTTCACCTACATAAATCTTGTCACAGCCTCCACAGGGTATAGTGTAAACTCCTGCATTGACTGGTTCGTGATGCTTGGATTTTGTCCTGGTTAGATCCTTTATTGAAGTGCTAGAAGCGATGGCGACTCTGGTGTTAGCTTGTGAAAGTACTTTTGAGACATTCAGTGCAACCTGGCTGTTGGGAAGAATTATAACTTTGTTGGGAGTGGTGTTGGTGCGTGGAGAATTAATGATCTGAAGAGCTCTTTTCTTGCAGTCTTTGATGAAAAAAGAAGGAAAATGTAACTCAGTGAATGTATGTACATTCCTCGTCAAGAAACTCAGGACTACAAATTCGGTATGCTCTTAGGAAAAACCCGATGATGATGCCTCTTTTGGTCTTGGTATCTTGACTGGAATAGAAGTGTGCGAGATCATTTTTATTGGTGGGTTTCCGATAAACTTGAAATCTTAGGTTGTTGTCTACTTTGTGAATGAGGACGTCGAGGAAAGGTAGCTTGTCATTGGACTCTTCTTCTAGTGTAAACTGGATCGCTGGTTCAACTGCGTTGAGCCTTGCCTGAAGATCCCGTACATCAAAACGTTTGGGAGTTATTACGAGGACGTCGTCCACGTAACGTAACCAAGTGACGCTTGAAGGGATGATGTTGGCGAAGTGTTTGGACTCTAGGTGTTCCATGTATAAGTTGGCTAGGACGGCACTGATGGGGGACCCCATTCCCATGCCGTAGGTTTGTTGTAGAGCTTGTTATTGAAAGAAAAACAGTTGAAATTAACACAGTTCAATCAAGTCAACAAAATCTCCGGGAAGTAGAGGAAGATTAAGGTCCTGATTGACTTTACGTTGTAGAACCTCGATGGCTTTTTTGGTAGGTACTTTTGTGAAGAGGGAAGTCACATCCAAACTGCTTAGTTTCTTGTTACGGATGGAGAGGTTACGGATGCGGTTGAGAAGGTCGCCTGAGTGTTTAAGATGAGCGGGGCTGATGGTCCCCAGAAGGCAGGAAAGATGTTTGGCAAGAACTCCGGCTAGTTTGTGTGGAGCACTGCCTATTCCTGACGTGATTGGTCTGAGAGGAATACTGTGTTTATGGGTCTTGGGTAAACCATACATGTGTGCTGGTTTAGGGTTGCTTGGTAACAAGTACAGAAGTTTCTTCCCTTCTCTAGTGCGTTTGAGTATTTGTCTGGTTTTGTATAGAAAATCTCCACGCACCAACACCACTCCCAACAAAGTTATAATTCTTCCCAACAGCCAGGTTGCACTGAACGTCTCAAAAGTACTTTCACAAGCTAACACCAGAGTCGCCATCGCTTCTAGCACTTCAATAAAGGATCTAACCAGGACAAAATCCAAGCATCACGAACCAGTCAATGGAGGAGTTTACACTATACCCTGTGGAGGCTGTGACAAGATTTACGTAGGTGAAACAGCAAGAAACCTCGACACCCGCCTCAATGAACACATTTACGCATGTAGGAACGATAACTTGAACAACGCCTGTGTACAACACCGAAATTCCACCAGAGGCATGCTGACATTACAGATCACTGCAATATCCCCACCACTCCCTCAGAGTACAGGTACTGTACTACCCACCTCCAGGACTAAAATCCAACTAGCTGGTCCCTGAACCCCTTTATAAATGCTATCTTGCTCACACTTCACAAGCTGACACGCCCACTCCAAAATATCCTAACACATTCACTTCCTCCATACTCCCTACTTCCTATCTGATATCCAGTCTTTCATTACCTAAATTTTTTTGTTACTCTCATCATCTTCCTCTTTCCTATGTTCATTTTTAATTTTCTTCTACATACCCTCTCAAATTAGTCTACCATCCTTTGCAACTTTTCTTCAGAATCTCTCCGAAGCAACTCCCACTTTGTATTAGATCCTTTTAATCCCACACCTCTCCCTAACACCCTAGTATTCACTTCTCCATTTATTGCTTAGTGTGAACATTATATATGTATTATGTATATATATTATTATAATAAGTGTTATATCTTAACTTAATACATATAACTTCATAACATATGTTCATACTTAATAAATAGAAGCGAGTGTGGTACAAAAACTAGACATTTGTACATTATAAATTATAAATGAAGAGAAATGGTTTGGTCTACTGGTAATGTATAAAAAATCAGTACAGGGTGACCATTACATGAGCTATAAATGTAGTTGCAATATGTTATTGATTTACTAAAAACATATTGAGAGTACTGTGAACAAAAATACTTGAGCACTTTCATGCTTATACATACACATCTGAAGCTGTATATGTAAGGACATGAAATTCCTCACATTTTTTTTTCCTCTGGCATTTTTTCACATTAGTAATTTCATATTTTATTGTAATTTCTTTCCACTGATTGGTACTGTACTTACTACTGTCAGCAGATGCAGTCTTACTGCAGAACTAGACTAAAAGGAAATTGAATATTCATCAGAATTTGTAACCAGATTCTAATGCCATTCTCAAGCTATAGCATAGAAACCAATGCATATCAGTTTTATTACAAATGGCAAATAGCCACCTACACAGCCCAATAATCTGAACCATCCTATAAATGCAGTACACCAATATTGAAAATTTGAAGCTGATAAGAGGCTTTCTAAGGTTAACTCACAGGAAACCTTAGTGGAAGAAAATATCAGTTACTATAGTTTGTTAAGATGCAATTCTCTTGTAGACTAATATCAAGAATACTTTAATTTCATAAATAGGTACCGAAGTAAACTTCTGTATAGACACTGAAGTAATTACCTCTTAATGTAAGCTTAGGGCAACTTGTTTAGTTCTCTCCCAGGATGAAAATAATCAGTACAAATTACCTCAAGGTCACAACCTTTGATTATAGTACTGTACTTCCTTTAGCAATCCTCATCGCTCTTCCTAGCTCTACCTCTGATCTACTCTTCACCCTCGCTGATCTCTGATCCGGCATACTGCACCTTTTAGCACACCCTACCCTGCAGTGCAGTATGACCCTTATGGGTTTAGCACTTGTTTATAATTATAATAATTACCTCAAGGTCAACTATTAGCTCATTCTGCATTAGTAGTAGAAGATCAAGTGGCCAATAAGCAGCATGGAGTAGCAGCAACTGCGGCCAGGCCCGAGTCAGGAGCAGGAGCAGGTCTGAGGCAAGCAGAGGGGTGAGGAAGGGCGAGGCTCTGGCTTGACGCACCACCCATCCCAACACCTGTACACCAACCTCCTCTCGTAAACGACCTGCAGGGAAAACAAGATACTAGTACAATAATTATCCCACAGATCAGATTGAATGTCCCACAGGTATGTGGAAGCACATGCTGCCATGTCTTGCTAGGATAACCATAACCTCTTAAATGCTTATTTTTATGGTCTCTGATTGTAGATGACATGCCAGAAATTTGATTTTGAAAAGCCATTTTAAATTTTCTTAGGGAGGTAGGCTCTTCCCTCCTCCCTAATAAACTCTTACCTACTAAAATATCTTGCCCAGAAACTTCTACAAATCTGCTTTAATGCACCAGCACTTGAAGTGTAGAGCCACTCAAAAAGCATCTTCTCAAGTTAGCGCTGAAGATCTGAAGCCAGTCAATTGAGGCATCCACAAATTAATGGGTGAAAATTTAAATATCCCAAATTCCATGAAATTGGCAACTACACAGCCCAAACTTAATTTAAACCTTTTTCTAAGGTTAAAAGCTGATCAGTAGACTGATCAGCTGTTATTTCATGGAAATCCACTTTCTCAATAAAATAAGCTTTTTAATGAAATAGACAAATCGAGATTTACACAGCCATACAACAGTGCAAACCCTCCATTGAACAAAACAGTGGTAGAAGTTTGAAAGACTTCTCTAGTTATTGTTCAGAATCCAACAATTCCAAGTTCTTTTAATTATGCTTGTAAATAGGCAAATTTGTGCCTACTCACCTTATATTTATAGAGCATCATCCTCCTCTGAAGATGAACCAGCCATTAATAGATGAATTCGTTCAGATGAGGCATATTTAGTATAATCACATGATTTTACTAAAAAAATTAAATTGGCACCTACACACTCCAATGTCAATCCCAATCTTCTTGCAAGTAAGAAATATCAGTACTGAATATGTGAAGCTTTCTCAAGTTATGGCAAGGACACCAAAATCAGGAATGGTTTATATTAAACTGATCAGAGGGCATTGCAAAGAGTTGTGTGAACCTTCCCCTAGTTATGTTACACCAGCATTAAATTTGATGGCAACTGGCTTAAAAATAATAAACAAAAATTGAGGAAAAAAAATTGTCAGCCACTTAAAGGTCTCCAACATCTCATGAAAACCTAAAAAATTATAATGTAACCAATGAAAAATGAAAACACTGAATCATACAATGAGGATAGTGCACTAAGCTACACACAAACCAATAGGATGAGAAAAAATTGTGCAACTGATTGCCTAATGAAGCACTCAACAGCAAAAAAGCTACTGAACTTACCAGAATTACCATAGTTGTGTAGGTTAGGTCTGACACAGTCATGAAGGTTAGGTCTAACAGCACTGAAAGCAGAGGTATGTAGCCCAAGAGGAGGGAGGTGTGGCTGTGGTAGTGGCATCATGGTAGGTGCCATGGGTCGCAGTGTTGGTATAGACTGGGGTAGTATGGTGGGCGGTGGCGGTGATAACATAGATGGTGAGGACATCAAGAAAGGGTTCGACGCTAACAAAGATGCCAACCTGAAAAAAATAAATTAATTAAAACTAAAAGTAATGAATTACACAATCAGACTTCACATGGACAATACAACTTTCTTTTCTGTAGTATACAGTAATGGACATAATAAATTGCACAACTAGACTTTACATGTACAATACGACTTTATTTACACAAATAACCCGCACATAGAAGAGAGGAGCTTATGACGACGTTTCGGTCCGACTTGGACCATTTACAAAGTCACACCGAAAGTCGGACCGAAACGTCGTTGTAAACTCCTCTCTTCTATGTGCGGGTTATTTGTGTATTGTTCCAGTCACGGTATTGTGCCTTTTTTGTTATTTAACAACTTCATTTCTTTACTGCAGTATACAAAATGTAGTTTACATGTAAATACTGTTAAGCCTAAAAGAAAGTCATTAGCATGAGGTGCATTTCGGGTATTAAACTTAATGCTCACGAATAGGATTGGTTGGTCATTATTATATTCTTGGGAAGCGCTAAACCCGTGTTGATCACACAGCACCTGGGTAATGCGTGGTAATCAGGTTTCAGCCAAGGAAAGGGAGAATAATTCTAATCCCTTAGATCAAGATGCCTTGAATGAAATTGGTTGAACACCTTTAGAAATCCCAATACTCACTCTCTCTCTCTCTCTATTCACCTATATGTTGAATAGATGAATACATATACCTTTTGTCTTATACAAATTTTGATTCACTTATAATTAATAATCTACTGTTCAACTATGAAATAATTACTATCCTACTGTACAACTATGATATAATCCTTAGTGTTAAGTAGTCTGTAAGCCAATAATGTTAAGTTGGCCCATAACGCCTAGGCATAATAGAGGCTCTCTTAATGTACTGTTTGCAAAGACATAATATAAATAAATAGTGTTTACATGGGTTAAGTCTCAGCTTCTGGTCCTATTTGTATTCACCTATTTGTGGTTCTTCGGTCCAAGGGTGGGTGAGTAGGTGTTTGTATGTATACATGTGTGCATGCCTATATTATATATATATATATATATATATATATTATATATATATATATATATATATATATCTTCTTTTAACAAACCGGCCGTATCCCACCGAGGCAGGGTGGCCCAAAAAGAAAAACAAAAGTTTCTTTTTAATTTAGTAATTTATACAGAAGGAGTTACTAGCCCCTTGCTCCCGGCATTTTAGTCGCCTCTTACAACACGCATGGCTTACGGAGGAAGAATTCTGTTCCACTTCCCCATGGAAGTAAGAGGAAATAAACAAGAACAAGAACTAGAAAGAAAATAGAAGAAAACTCAGAGGGGTGTGTATATATATGTGCTTGTACATGTATGTGTAGTGTGACCTAAGTGTAAGTAGAAGTAGCAAGACGTACCTGAAATCTTGCACGTATATGAGACAGACAAAAGACACCAGCAATCCTACCATCATGTAAAACAATTACAGGCTTTCGTTGTACACTCGCTGGGCAGGATGGTAGTCCCTCCCTGGGCGGTTGCTGTTTACCAACCTACTACCTAGGATATTATATATATCTATCTATCTATATATATTATATATATATATATATATATATATATATATATATATATATATATATATATATATATATATGCTGAGGGACTGATACTTCGTCTTTTTTACATCTACAGTTTCAGATTATGTCCTTGTAGCTGTACTGTATTAATAAAAGCCACTGGATGACGAAACTCTACATTTAAAGATACCCAGATGTTGCACGTGTCTAAATCTTCATCTTGTATTATATACTGTTCATATACAAGTCTACGAATGACCTACGAAGCCTGTCCACAGGCGAAACGTCTCCAGTTTACTACCATCCACCGTCTTTCACCAAACCCTTGACACACTTCTGGTAGTACACAACCCACTTTCCCAGGCTGAGGAACCATGATCCATGTCCGCTCCCACTACAGAATATCTTGACCATTTCCGATATATATTTACTACTAGTGACACGCCCTGCTGGTTAAAGCACAACAATACATTGATCCTGCCTTGAGAGCAAGTATCCAAATATTTCTTGTATTAAACACTGTCGTGCATATTACTCACATGACTATTGGAAATATCTAAATATATCAATAACAATCTTTGAAGCCGTATGATCACGCTAGTAGCGTGGTAAATATTGTATGTATTTAAAATATTCCAGGAGAGATTATTTGTGAATGAAGAAAGATTTATTTGAGTCTTACTCATTGAGGTAGAGCTTAATAAAGAATTACTGAATTTATTTTTGAAAGATTTAAGAATATTTTGAGTTGTGATTTTAGACCAGGGGAGTGGTGAAATTTTATCAATATAGTGATAAAAGTGTCTTAATTTTTATCAAAGATATAAAAACCTCTATAGGTTTAGGACTTCCCTATGAATAATAACAACAATAATAAAATATTAAAAATAACATAATAATAATATTTATTAGAAGTGTGAATTAAGACATATTAGACTTAACGTGTCCAGACATGAGGCTATTGTGGGTACAACTTTACAATACATACGCATCTTTATTTAAAAATTATAGTACAAAACATACGGTAATCTTAAGGCTTATAGGATACACAACACAGCACACTATTACCCCATCAGGTCCATGCGGTACGACGGTACATGTACCAAAATAATTTAAAAGCATTAATGGAAAAAAATAATACGGTTAAGATATCACAGTACATGCACGTTAATGAAATAAAGTATTTAAAAATTTAATAGGAAGTACTATTGTTAAGCAGCGGGGATGGGAGGGGGGTGAGGGGGGATTAGACTCACCCAATTTTAATGATTTTTTTATGAAGGCATCTTTTTACCACTTGTAGGCTATACCATGCTTTACCACTTGTAGGCTATACCATACTTTACCACTTGTAGGCTATACCATACTTTACCACTTGTAGGCTATACCATACTTCAACAAATGTAAATTACTTAATTCAAGTTTATTCTCTATAATGGTTACAATGTGGGGTTTACAGGTTTTGGGTATTGTGTGGTTTACATGTTATAAAATACTAATTACAGAGGGAGCCACTAGGACACCTAGCATGGCTAGGCATTTCGAGCCGACTTAAATTAATTCTTAACATGGAAGTGAGTGAGCAAGTTAGGTAATAACTGTTGAGAGAGTCCACTTAAGAAGTACAAGAGTAAGCAAGCTGAGGTAATCACTGTTGTGAGCTCAGTAAGGGAGTACAAGAGAGTAAGCAAGCTGAGGTAACCACTGAGAAAAGGACAGATTCTCCCCCAGCCTAATTAAACAAAACGAACGCAAGTCAATATCGTTACGATCATTAACTCGGCTAAACAATCAGAAACAGCAGGTATAAGAAAACTTTCCTGTAAGTCTCCTCCTGCCCAGGAATCCAACCTGGGTTCTTTCTGCTGTGAGACAAACACTACCAGCGAGTTATATATAATACAATATATATAATTTTCAATATAGTACATGTGAAAAACTAAAGTGTAACGAACACTTATCACTGATCAATAATAACCCACATGGAGACAAAACCTCAGAAGATTGACTAATCTGTATATTCCGACCCCTTCTGGGGTCCTCTTCAGCAGAAGAGGACCCCAGAAGGGGGGTCACAAGATACAGATCAGTCAATTTTTTGAGTATCTGTCTCTATGAGTGTTATTATAGAGCACAATACATGTGCTAAGAGCACTCACGTTAGGGGAGTTTCAGGAAGACCCAACTGTCTGACGAAGGCTGGTGGTAAGTCCCCAGTCAAGGGGACTCCTGGTATCTTGGAGGGCCCGGTGTTCATACTGATGGGCGAGAAGAGGGGCGGGGGGTCTCTAGCTGGGGCAGGGACACCCCCTCCACACATTGTAGGACTGCTCCCTACTTCGCCCATACGACATTCTGTAAGTGTTGTCTGTTGTTGCTGCTGTTGCTGCTTCAGTTTGGGCTTTCTAGGTCCTCTCTCCTCCTGTACGGCTGCCAGTCCATAATAACGTTAATTACACAACACTAACATTTAATCTACTTAAATTCACTGTTGTATTATTATTAGTTAATTATCCAGTACTTGCTTACAATTATTATTTGTATCATGAGGAACATTTTATGACTAAATTGAATCTAATTTAAAAAAATGGTAATTTTTGAGAATATTTACACAAAGGAAGAAAACCTATTACATTTCAACATGCAGATGAAGAAATTTCTAGAAATATCTTCCTGACATTTTCTTTCTACTATGAAGACTTCGCTAGAGCACAATACTTGTGTTGCAAATATATATAAGTCCTCTACACAATTTCAGGTTATTTAAAATTGTCTTACATGGCAAATTATATGTAAATTACCTTGAATAACCCAGTAAAATTAATTAAATCCAGCATGCTATTTTTCTAGGTACAGTTCAGCCTAACGTCTAAGAGCTGTTACTGTACCTCAGGTTACTTCAAAGCCTTGGGTTGTTTCCAACAAAGCACTAGATTGTGACCAACAAAGACCTAGGCTGTGGCCAACAGAACCCTAGGTTGTTACCAACAGAACCCTAGGTTGTTACCAACAGAACCCTAGGTTGTGACCAACAGAACCCTAGGTTGTCACCAACAGAACCCTGGGTTGTGACCAACAGAACCCTGGGTTGTGACCAACAGAACCCTGGGTTGTGACCAACAAAGCCCTAGGTTGTGAACATCGAAATTCGCTATTTACTGTACTGTAGTGGGGTCGCCGGTCTTGTCCCGGCCCTGGTCTTCTCCAGTTGGTGACCCAGCCGCAATTTACTGATAGGTAAATATGAGCAGAATGTAAGGAGGGTGGATGAAAAAGACAGGCGCAACACTTGGGTATATTATTGCCGAAGCGTTTCGCCTGCAAAATAGACTTCTTCAGTCGAATATAGATTAATGTAACACTGGAGACAGTGGCAGTAGGTGGTGGCGAGTCCCTCAGGTCTAGCCTTGATAGATTCTTACTCTTCTCGTTCTGACCTATCTTCCCACACAATTAGTTTTATTTTATTGAGTACTCTTTGATTCACCCGAGTACAGTCCGTGTTATTCCTGCCTGCTTCACAAGTTTTACACAAGCCTATTCGTTGTCTGAATTCAACTCGACACAGTTGTGCCCTCGTGTGCTTGATTCCCGCCCCTCGAAGTCTGTCCCTCTTACCCTATCTACCCGAAGGGTGCTCCGGGAGTCAACGCCCTCGCAGCCCAGTCCATGATCAGGCCTCATGGTGGATCAGCGTCTGATCAACCAGACTGTTACTACCGGCCGCACGCAATCCAACGTATGAACCACAGCCCGGCTGACTTAGGTGCCTGTCCAGCTCCCTCTTGAAGACGACAGCTACGGGTTTATTTGTAATCCCCCTTACGTATGCTGGGAGGCAGTTGAACAGTCTTGGGCCCCTGACACTTATTGGGTAATCTCTCAGTGTACTCAAGGCACCTCTGCTTTCAGTGGGGAAATGTTACACCCCCTGCCGAGTCTTTTTGCTTTCACAGGGAGTGATTTCCGTGTGCAGATCTGGGACTAGTCCCTCTAGGATTTTTCAAACGCAAATTATAATGCATCTTTCTCGCCTACGTTCCAAGGAGTACAGGTCAAGGGACTTCAAACGTTCCCAGTAATTGAGGGGCTTGACTGTACTTATATATGCAGTACAAGCACTGCATATTCAGATCTCCAGTTTCGCCTGCCTTGAAAGGTATCGTTAGTGTTAAGTAGTATTCTGGCCTAAGGAGATCAAGTGATTTAAAGAGAATCATTGGATTGACATCCCTATCAGTTCCTCTCGCTATTTTGTACGTCGTTACCATGTGACCCCCGGCGGCGGCGGCGGCGGCGACGACGGGGTGGTGGTGGTATAGCAGTGAAGTTTACATTCCTCTCTAGTAAGTAGGATAAATCTTTAATGGATGGTATTGCAGAAGCAACAACGTCCATTAACAGGTTCACAGATAAATATTTGATCTGCACTGGCGATTATAAGGAATCGCGATCGCCTGTTGACTCAACATTTTTACCGCTACTACGCTACCACGGAGTTTAACAAGGGACTCTGCTATTTACATTATATAGATTACTGTGTTATATTGGAACATCATTCTCAATTGTTATATTTGGTGACAATGATACAGGAAAGAAAAGTCAATGTTAGAACCAACCCGAGTGTCTGAGAGCGTAATGACACATAATTTGTTGATACAACGAGAGAAAATTGGCAAATAGATTAAACGAATTTTAACTGTCAGATCCTTGTTTAATATCTATTAAAAACATTTTTTATTGGATGGCTCTGGATTACAGTCAATGATGGAAATGCCACAAGTTGCCACAAGTTGTTTGCTGATGACTCAATGGTTTTCGTAGGTGATTCGCATCATAAGCTTCAGAAATTAAGGGAGGAGTTTTGAATGTTGTGTATAAAGAAAAAGTTGAAATGAGCTTAAATACAAAACCAAAAAGTGGTGAATATTTAAAAGAATATTGGTAATGAAAGATTAGAAGTCACACTTGGAGTAAGAAGTGAATATATTTAATTATCTGCAGTGAATGTGTCAGTAGATAAGTCGGTGAAAGATGAAACGATTCTCATGACATTTGTTAAAGAGCCTACGGAAATTAATTTGTCAATGGAGGAAAAAAAAACAGTAAATCATAGTGGTACCAACGCTTCTGTATGGATAAGAGGCATGTTTTGTGAAGGCTGCAGCGAGAAGACTGCAGGGAGTGTCTTGAGATCACTGTCTTCTGTGTATTTTATTCACAGAATACTTAGTAGTATGAAAAACTGATTCAAAGAGTTAAAGAGGTTCATTCGTGTAGAAAGATTAGAACAAGATAGTTCGACTAAAATTTATAGATCTGGGATGGATGGTGGAGGTTTAGGGCAAACCTGAAGGAAAAAGTTGTGAAGGTTTCGAGAGGCAAGCACTTTAAAACAAGCAACAATTATGGGTTTATCTTCATCACGCTTTAGCTTGCATGCAGGCAAGTAGAGAGAGAGGGAGAGGGAGAGGGAGGGAGAGGGAGAGAGAGAGAGAGAGAGAGAGAGAGAGAGAGAGAGAGAGAGAGAGAGAGAGAGAGAGAGAGAGAGAGAGAGAGAGAGAGAGAGAGAGAGACCTCTAACATTGTTCAAGGTTCGACAATAAACATCCTGTCACCGGAGCACACTTGACAGATCTGGTAAGCGGCCGCTCGATAATTTTCATGGACGAGTAAAACCCGAGGTGAAAATTACCTATAATTTCGAGTGTAATACACAGACACACACACATGATAGTTAAGCCGATAAGAGCACAACTCTGGTAGTATGTGCGTTTTAATCCCCAGCGCTAATAATGACAATGATTTTTTGATGTGAGAGCCAGGAAAGTACCGCTGTAACCAACCTTAATCCTCCTGGCTGCATTTTTTACGTGTGAAGCGGATGTTGTGGATGGAAGTGGAGGATCACGAGGCAGTGGATTAAGGCAGGTGCAAGGCATTACCCATTCAATTAATCACTTTAATCTCATACAATATTGCTCTGTTAATTAGCGGTGAGTGTTTTATGACTTAGTTTATCATGAAGCCTGAATCTCTCAACCATTCCTACAATAATAAGGTACCAAGAGTATGTGTGTATATTAATATAACAGTATACCTTGTATCACTTTATTAATAATAAAATATGAATTGATGCGATATATATAATGGTACCAATAACCTATTAATATGGTATGTATTAATAATTACTATATTTTAATACTGTGTATTAATAATACAATATTTATAATATAATGCGTAAGTATAATGTGTACTACTATATATATATATATATATATATATATATATATATATATATATATATATATATATATATATATATATATATATAATTATATAAAATTCAATATTATAGGCTATGAGATGATACCAGCAACACCTGCTCCTCCTAAGGCTAATAAGCAGGAAAATGGACGAAGACTTGAACCGAGGTCCTTGCATGTAGCACGTCCAGCGCTAAACCACTGAGTCACGAAGCTAACATTAGGATAATTTTGCACTGTAAAATAGGTTGCAGAATCTTCGCATCATACGCTTCGTGGCTCAGTGCTGCAGCACTAGACCTGCAACATATTACGGTTTGACTCCTCGTCCATTCTTCTGTTTATTCATTGACAGTCGTTCATTACAACTTGAGTATGTGTACAAATACATTTGTCGTGATGGCAATTTCATTATATCGTGAACATCGTAAACTGTGTAGCCAAGGTGAACTTGTGGATGTTTACTTGCCAAGTCATGGGTTCGATCCTCAGTAAGATTTACACGTTTACCTGGAGAGGATTTCGGGGGTCAACGCCCCCGCGGCCCGGTCTGAGACCAGGCCTCATGGTGGATCAGGGTCTGATCAACATAGGCTGTTACTGCTGGCCGAACGTGTGTTCATGAACTCGATAAACATCACAGACCATATTAACCGAGAGGTGTAATTCTCTCAGTGTATATACACTGAGATATTAATCCCGATATTAGAGATTGAAGTATTCTGGACTGATGGTGAATGGGTGACAAGCAGCCTTAATGACCCTCGTGTAGTCGATAGGCTTTAAACCCAAATAATGTTAACGTACAAACATGATTATTAACCAAAAACGAAGCTCAAAAAACAAAAAAAAATCTGCAAACCAAATTTGTTTTTGCTGTTATCAAACTGACCTTTGAAATTAGACAAAATTTATCTACTGTAGTTTAGACTGACAAGTTCTGACTCAGATGAAGATTTTTTTTAAGTTAGGAATAGTTTCAGCAGTCCTGGAAAACAATTTATCCTAACAGTCTAACCCAGAATATCCTAACAGTCTAACCCAGAATATCCTAACAGTCTAACCCAGAATATCCTAACAGTCTGACCCAGAATATCCTAACAGTCTAACCCAGAATATCCTAACAGTCTAACCCAGAATATCCTAACAGTCTAACCCAGAATA